TTTATTAAATCATTACCTATAATCCATTTACTTGAAATTTTATCCATTTCCTACAAAAGAAAAATAAACCAAATAAGTATAAATATAAAAAAAATATTAAAATAAATACATATATAGGAGAAAATTTAAAATTCACCAAATTCTTATAATATGAAACCTGCAAAAAAAAAAAGTTAGTAAACAAAATTATAAATAATAAAAATATACCAAAATGAAAAATTTTATAAAACATATTATGGATCAAAAAAAAGAAAAAAGGAGAGTGCAATAGAAAAGATCGTAAAAAACAAAAAAATCAAAGGAAAAAAAAACGTGAAAGAGGGGGGAAGAGTAAGAGGAGTAAGAAAAATCAAAAGAATATTAAGAAGTGTAGAGAAAGAAAAGAGGAAAGAGAGGGGAAGAGTAAGAAAAAAGGAGAAAGAGGAAAAGGAATAGAGAAAAAAGAAAGGAAATGAGAAAGAAGAGGAAGGAATACCCAGAAACGGAGGAGATGAAGAAGAAAAAGAAAGAGAAGAAGAAGAGAAATCAGAAAAATGAGGAAAGGAATGAAAGGGAGCTAGTTACATATAGGTTTTATACGGACCGAAATCGGTCTGAATATACCAAATAAATGCCACATAACTGCCTAGTAAAAAGCTTCAATTTTGCTAAAAATTTAGGCGGCAATCATTTGCAGACCGACATCGATCCGCAATTTACCAAAAAAGTTTAATTTATAGCAAAATTTTGGTAGCAAAATATACGGACTGAAAATGGTCTATAAATAAATAATTAAGTGCCAATCCTAAAAAGTTTAATTTTGGGCGAAATTTTCTAGAGGCAAAACCTTTGAAACAGCAATTGATTATATTCGGACCAGTATCGATCTGTATATATAAGATAAACCTTTGTTAATTATAAAGATGAATTAAATTACGTATATTATATGCCTCTCACACTTTTTCAAACCGTTGTTGGTCTGAATATATTGCAAAAAATTCATAAACTTCTCCTTGTGCACCTATTTATTCTTTTTATTTAAGGATATCACCATCTTCCCGTGCCCCAAATCTGTTCTTATGAAAACCTATTGTGTGTACATCGATACTACAGTCTCCTAGAACCCTAGAACCATCGATTCCCTACCTAAAATTATCTAACGATGGTACAGGATAGTATCATTGCAAAATTATGAATGTCTAAGTATAAGGTTACTAGATATAAGGCTATGTAATGTTATTTTGGAGCCACAAGCAAGTAAAATTTATTTTTTTGGGTATGGTTAACCACTTTGGCACGTAAACATTCGGAATGTTATGGTTGAAAACGAGAGTATAACGAATTGAGCATGAGATAAGGAAACAATAAAAAAGCTGCAAGTGGGTATATATTGGGACCAAAACCGGTCCGTATAACAATATACAGACCAAGATTGGCTGTATATATGTCTGTCATGGTTTTTTTTAATTATAAAGATAAATTAAACTCGATGTAAAGATATATATAGACCGATTTTGGTCGGAATATAGGCACATAATCTAGAAGCTTCTACGCTTTTGCTTTGTTAGACCGTTTTTGGTCCAAATATATTGCAAAAAATCCAGAAACTTCTCCCTATGCACCTTTTTATTCTTTTCATTTAAGGACATCACCATCTTCCCGTGCCCCAAATTCGTTCTTACGAAAACCAATTGTATGAACATCGACACTACAGTCTCCTCGAACCCCAGAACCATCAATTCCCTGCCTGAAATTATCTAACAATGGCGTGGGATAGAATCATTGTAAAACCTTGAATGTTTAAGTATAAAGTTATTACATGTAAGGTTATGTAATGTTCTTTCGGAGCCACAAGCAAGTAATTGATTTTTTTAGGTAAGGTTAACCACTTTGGCATGCAAACATTCAGAATGTTATGGTTGAAAACGAGAGTATAACGAATTGAGCATGAAATAAGGAAAACAATGAAAAAGCTACATGTGGGTATATATTGGGACCAAAATCGGTCCGTATAACAATATACAGATCGGTATCAATCCGTATATATGTCTGTCATGATTTTTTTTTAATTATAAAGATAAATTAAATTCGATGTAAAGATATATACAAACCGGTTTTGGTCGGAATATAGGCACATAATCTAGAAGCTTCTACGCTTTTACTTTTTCAGATCGTTTTTTGTCCGAATATATTGCAAAAAATTTAGAAACTTCTCCTTGTGCACCTTTTTATTCTTTTCATTTAAGAACATCACCATCTTCTCGTGCCTCAAATCCGTTCTTACGAAAACCAATTGCGTGAACATCGACACTACAATCTCTTGGAACCCTGGAACCATCGCTTCCTTGCCTGAAATTATCTAACGATGGCGCGGGATAGAATCATTGTAAAACCTTGAATGTATAAGTATAAGGTTATTAGATATAAGGTTACTAGATATAAGATTATGTAATGTTCTTTCGAAGCCACAAGCAAGTAAAATTGATTTTTTTGGGTAAGGTTAACCACTTTGGCACTCGAACATTCGGAATGTTATGGTTGAAGACAAGAGTATAACGAATTGAGCATGAGATAGGGAAAACAATGAAAAAGCTACAAGTGGGTATATATGGAGACCAAAACCGATCTATATAACAATATACGGACCAATATATACGTTTGTATATATTAACGAAGATATATACGGATCAATAATGATCCGTGTATACCACTGAGGCTCTATGTGGGGTCTCCATGTATAAACGGACCAATAACGGTCCGTATATATTAACAGTGATATATACAGATCGATACCGGTCTGTATATACTAATTTTTGTTGAGCCGGTTGGTGCTGCACTGCCTCAAACATTCTGTTTTTTTAGACTGAGCCAGCTGTAAAAATTTTGTAGCCGGCTTAACTAGCCTTGATTTTCATAGGTTATATATGGACCGTTATCGATCCGTATAGACTTGTTTGAATCATGTGAGCCGGTTGAGAGCCGGTTCAGAAATGAAAGCCGGCTAGTGCTGAACTGCTTCGAACATTCTGTTTCTTTTACTGAGCCAGCTGTGGGTATTTTGCAGCCAGCTTTGCTAGCCTTGATATATACGGTCTGGTATCAATTCGTATATGCTAGTTTGGGCCACCAAACACTCAGCCATTTGTGTGTTTATTACGATTGTTATACTAATTGAAGCCAATCTATGTATAAGTATTTCATTTAGTTTGATATTTCTTACATATAAAGGATTTAATTGATATTTAAATTAATATATTTGATAATGTAAAATTATTTTCACATAATTTATAATATTTATTATATAAAATGCTAGAAAATTTTGTTAATTTACTCTAAATATATAAGTCTCCAATGTCTACTACAAATATAAAATAAATACAAATATTTAATTGAAATATAAAAAACCTAAATATCTCGGGGTGTCCTAGGGGTGACTATCCCACTGGTATCCGTTGGGGTCATCCCTAAATGCTGGTAGAGTTGCTGCACAGATGCAGCAAAGGTCAACTGTTGTTGTCGTAGGCTCTCATTATCTACCATAAAGGTCATTTGTGATTGTCGAAAGCTATTATTATCTACCTTCAATGATTCAACAGTCTGCTCTAATTCGATAAGCTTATTAGACTGTCCTATGATGGGTGGCCTGAATAGTTCCCGTCTAGATGTGCTCACACCTATATCCTGTGGATGTGTGTGAATATCCAAACCTTTCAGTCATCCTTTCTTGACCCCACCAGTTGCCCTAAGTAATAACTCACCATGAGCTATTGTAGGGTCAAATCCTTCTTCCTCCTACCTAGCAGCATATTCAGCTGTTAATTTTTCTTGAAATGATATAAGACAAAATAAATAATTAATTGTATTGAAAATTAAAGTGTAATTTAAAATATCACTTTAGGCACCTAAATTCAATTTACTCTCCCCTTAAAAGATGGAGTTCTAACTTTTTACCAATAACTATATTGTACAATAATTTCAATATTATAACCAAAACAATTTCAATATTATAACCAAAATAATTTCAATTAATTCATGACACAATTTAAAGTAAAATTGTTAAGTTAAATACTCACTCCAATTTCTTGAGCCTCATCATTACAATATACAGGCAATTGGTCTTTTCCTTTTCCTTTGTGCTGCCTTCTACTAGTGTAGACCTCAGGAAATGTCGATGGATGACCCTCGAGGTTTGCTTGTTGCTGTAAAGAAAAAAAAAGAAGAGAAAATATTAAAATCAATATAAAATAAATTATAAATCATAATTCATTAATTATTCATTAAAAATATGTTAACTTTTATACCATTTTCTTTCTATAAACATTAACGTCCATTGAACCGCTAGTATGCGTTACCCTCGATCTCGGTCCTTTTGCTCGATTAGCCCTTGCAGAACTTGACCTTCTCAAATGACCCTCGTCCTGTAAAAGTGGTGAACACATATATTTTCTTAATTAATAATATGATAAAAACATTAAACATTGCAATTGAAAGTTAAAAAATAAATTATAATAAACACATGAATTTACTCCATTACCTCAGTCCATAAATAAACAAGCCTTGCCCATAACTCTGGATTCATATTTGGAGGCTTAACTTGAAAGTTTCTCTTTGCACACTTAGCTTTCAACTCACTAAGTGCATGCTTGAACTTGATCCTTGCTGTCACGTTCCATAAATCGTTTACAGTCTTATCAATCGCAGGATTTGATTCATATGTTTGCTGAAAATAATAGAAATATAAATGAATAAATAATTTAATAACAAAAATATTAATGATAATAACAAAAAAAATCAAATTACTTAAAATTTGAAGATAAAAATTGAAAATATCTAATTTGTAGATAGAAATTAAGTGTTTAGGGCGTACACTGAATATATTCCAATACATGTCCCAATGCTCACGAAGGACTTGTCCCCACGATGTGTAAGCATCTGGGAGATTCTCCCGCAACTAGACCACAATCTGTCGTCTGACCTGTTGTGGCAAACCACCATACTCATCTAGTTCTAATGGGATCTTCAACCCATTTGTAGATATTTGCACGGGCTTAGCTTGCCCCCGTCCCTGTCTCTGCTGAGGGGTAACCACAGGTGTATCCTCATCACTGGGAGACTCAGCCTGTATATCAGCATCTGAAGTCTCCAAAACCACATCAATAGGAACCTCCTCCTGAACTTGTCTCTGGGGGTCAAATGGATTTGGCCGTTGCAGCGGTTGGATGGATTCAATAGCCTCCGTGCAGCGAGAACTACAGCTATCCACTGTAAAAAAAATATAACAAATGCAAAATAAATCATTAATACAAGTAATTTAAATGCAATAAATAAATTACTATTAATATCACAGTAAAAATTAAAATAGTTTTAATTTCTATAGATAAGCAAATAATAATCAAATTATATTTTAGTTGAATAACATATAGTATAACTGATATAAATAATAAAAATTATATAAATATTAACAAAAAAAATATAAATTAATAATATGATAAAAAC